ACGTGAGGTCGGTCACACTTTGTGAGCAAGGAGCGACAGGACCAAAGTTCCGCCTGTGGAAGATTCCCTCTTGGCGGTATCCGGGATGATCTGGAGGGGAGCGGGTACAGAGCGGTGCTCTGCCCACCTATTTCCCCAAATCCACAATGACCCCTGCTCTCTCCAGCCACCCGGCTTTTGGGCTGTGCCATTGTAGCAACAGCAGCTCCAGCACCTGAGGTCTGGGGTCTGAGGAGGCCACTCCCCAAAACGCATCCCCTGTGTTCCACTTTATACAGCGAGTTTCTGCCCTGAATCCTTTGGTAACTTCCTGTCCTAGTTACCAGCTCTATTCCCTGGTTCCTTAAAAAAAGGCTGGGGGGCCTGTTTGAGTCTTTCTGATTTCCTAAACTAGGCCCCATCTGCCCATGAATACTACCACCTAAGTAAAGAACGTCCTGGCTACTAAGGCCTGCCTGGATTTCCCAATCTCTCTTCACCTGGATGCTCTGTTATTCTACCCTACAGTGGAACATATGCCATTTTGGTGTAAAGTACCCATTGCTCCACTGGCCTAGCCTGAGAGTTGGAATGTTGTTATCTTTGTTACTCTGGGGTTCCTGACAGCCCGTGCCATCCTGAACCTTCTCTGTCAGCCTCATCAGCTCAGTCAGGTTCCCCTCGTAGGCAGGCTCACAGCCAGAACCCAGCCTCTCTCTGCCTTCTCTAACATTCTCTAGCTTTCTATTGCTAGTACCGCTAATACCTAAGTATAGCAGAGAGGCTACCTGCAAATATCAAGACATAGACTGATAAGGACCAGACAATGGAGACAGAGAGGAAAGGCTGATGCTAGAGACCTGGCACCAGGAGGAGATAAATGAAAGGTTTAGGAACTAGCAGAATGTAGAAGATGGTAAAAGGCAAGGAAGAGTCAAATAACTCCATGGTTCAAAGTCTGGAGGCCAAAGAAAGCCATGACCACAACAGCAAGGGAAACTGGGGTTGACCAGGGATCTGTTTTGGTTTGGAACGTATTTATACATAGTACCTTCCCACTCCCACTTTCCTCACTCTCTGTGCTCATTCACAGCCTTTATCAGTACCTTACCTCTCTAGAATGAAGCCTCCACGAGGGGCAGGAACATTGCTTGCTTATTCCCTGCAGAATCTCAGGCTCTAGAACAGTGCCTGGCATGCACCACGTTTTCCATGCAGATACATGTAGACCATATGAATAGATTCTGAGTTAACATGCAGTCCTCAGGAAGTGCTGCCCTTCAGATGCTTGGGCAGAAGCACTTGGGTCTTGGTTGGAGCCTGGCTTTGAGGATGTGGGTACTGAGAAGAGAGGATGTGATGAGGAAGGGCATGTTCAAAGAAAGGGAAGGGTTGAGACACGTAGCAAACCTCCCTCAAAAGTTTAGGGAGATGAGAAGTGGAAGAGAGGGGAAGAAAGAGAGGAAGAAAGTCAAAGATAACCAAGACAACAACGCCTTCTGTAAATCAAGGAAGGACTAATCGGTAACGGCAAATGTTGTAAAGGTTGCCATGGATGAAAATGAGAGAGTAACTCTCGATTTCATGATCAGGAGGCTTGGCGTAGCCTCAGTGGAGTGTTGGATGCAGGGGATTGCAATGGGAAACGGATGAGTGTGGAGGGAACATGGAAGCATCAGATCCAGGCTGGATTTAAGACGTTTGGTCTTCATTGTAACAGGCTGTGCAGAAGTCAGAGGAACAACTGTGTTCAGATAGGCTGTTCGTATTCTTAGCTTTGGGGAGACAAAAGCATATTTAAAGACCTAGAGGGAGGAACCTTAGCCACCGCTCCCCCTAAAAAAAAACAAAAAAAAACAAGAAAAAATGATATATAGGAAAAAAAGTGTAAATGACATTTTGAGTTCTAAAGATAGGGAAAGGAGAGAATCCAGAGCTTAGGTGGGACCAAAGGAGGCCCTTCTCACTCAGGAGATGAAAAGTGAAGGAGAGAGGCATCTGGGAAAGTAAATGGAAAAGAGGGCTCTTCTCCTGCCCTAGCACCTAACAGCTTATGGACCAGTCTAAATAGACTTCAAGATACAGGTAACTTTCTGCTTTAAAACAACACGTTTCTGCAGAGAACGTGAAGTCAGGGCACAGGCCCTGCCTGCCCTACAGGACAAGATGGGCTTCCAAAACACAGGGACTCAAGGACCACCAAAGCAGGCAGGACCCTTCTCAATTCCCACCACCACAGTCAACTTGTGATTACAACGGCAGTATTACAAGGGCATTAATAAATCCGTGTTGCATCCTATCTGCCATCAATTAAAAATTCCTACAACAGAAACCCAGACCAGGAAAAACGATATTAATCACGGTGGAGGGGAACACAGAAAGATTCACGTCCATGTGTATACGAAGCCAGGAGTTTAAGAGAAGGAAAAACAGAGAAGAGTTACTCTTCTTGGAAGGAATTCATCTTCTTTCATACCCCAAGATACTGTGGGCCTTGCCTAAGGTCTACCTTACAGTTTGCCAGACTGCACACGGCCTTGGTCATATCCAAACAGCTAGTTTTCCCTGTTTCTGACATAATTTATTAAAGAAGAAAACACCTTTCTCTTGGTTATTTCCAACTGCTTTTCCTCTGGATGTGACATCTTTCCTCAGTGTGAAAAGAAACATGATCTACGATTCTGTGCTTCCCTGTATTTCAGGCTTCACTGATACATTCCACAGAATGTATGCATACAATCAGCAGAAATTTAAGCCTTAAAATAAACATACGTAGAAGGTAACAATAAAATACTTGATAATGGGACACTTGATAACATCTTCTGAAACTCAAGTAAAACATTACTAATAATATGGGTTTAAAAAGAAATCAGGCAAGTAAACGCAGCAGACAAATGCGCAAAGAATTGTTAACACATCTACTTGGCTTTTTATTCTATTATGTTACAATTTTGATGCCAAAAAAAAAAAAAAAACCACCCAATGAAGTATCTAATAACTTTTTCAGGTTTCTAATGTGGTTTGGTAGTCTTTAGGAACCAGGAATATAGCATCTACAAACAACTTCTTGGAGCTAAACTTATATAAAATCCCGTGTGAATCTGGAAAGGAAATAGAGAATACAAACACAGTCAGGCTATCCTCAATAAATATGGGATGACATAAAATAACACAATGCTGTTTTAAATGACTTCTCTTAACTATTCAGGGTTGATGGAAATGTTACAGCCTCCCTGCTATTAAAATAATTAAAAATAGGTGACAAGGAAAGACCAAGGAGAAGTTCTTTGTAGCTGTCTCTTCTACTTTAGGGGAAGAGAAGTCAGTAGCCAGATTCAGGCAACAGGCAAGAGAGAGACTTCCATACTCTCTTCTCAATATCTTCTTAATGCTACTGTCTGGAGCCCTACTTCCATCTTGGGTAGCCATGGCAACCTGAAGAGCCAGATTCTCCCAGTGCTTAGGGAAAGGTGAGAGTGAGGCCCTTAAGAAGGCCAGTGTAGTTCCAGTCACAGCTGAATAGCAGGGGAGAAGAAGGCGCCCAGCAGGGGTTGGAAGGAGTCAAGGACTGAGAACAGAACTGAAAACACCTTAGAATTCAACCCATTCAGCTCCAATCTGACTCACTCAAGGTCACACAGCACCGTGGTGGCAAGGATACTACTAGAACCCAGGTGTCCTCAACCAGCACAGCACTCTGCCCATCACCTCCCACTGCCTCCTAATCCAAGAAGCCAATTGGGAACTAAAGAGGATTCAATAACCAAGCTATCTTTATTTCCCCCCAAGCCAAGGCTCTAATCTTTTTCTATCTTTTTATTATGGAAAATTTCCAATATCTACAAGTAGGGAGATGAGAATAATAAACCCCATGTACCCATTGCCCAGCTTAAACCATTACCAACTCATGGCCAATCTTCTTTCATCTATACTCACTCCTCCTCCAGGATTATAATGAAACCAATCCCAGATAGTGTATCATTAGTTCTTTTTAAATATTAAATGCTCAAAGAAATTATATAGCTGCAAATGCATTAGAGATGATTTTCTTTAGGGAGTTTGGTGTCCCTATTCCATATCCTTGTGCTATGTGGGGCATTTTCTATTTTATTTCACAGCTCTTATCCCAGCACAGATCAGGAAGATAAGCTCTGTGACTGCGAACATACACTGACAATATTAGACTGGGGTACAATGAGGAGTTTTGATGAAGGGATTGTTTTGGACAATAACATGGAGAAAGACGAACCTATATCAAGAGATACACACCTTTCTACCTTAAACAAAACTCCATCAATACTGGACACCTGTTTAAATCAGGCTTAATTCTGAGATTTAAAGCCAACTTCCCCCATGAGTCCATATGAAAGGTACTAAATAATGGAATTCTCAAGCTTCAACAAATCCACAGAATAAAATAATAATAAAAAATTTTCATACCAATAAGGTTCTGACTCCCCTAGGATAGAGTCTATTCATTTGTCCTAAGGACATGATGGAAATTTAAAATTAAACAAGAAATACAGCAACACTTTTCTTTCATACAGCCATTTACATTTTGCCCACAGAAAAAATACATTCAAAAAAACATTTACAAAATTTTAAATTACCAAACAGGATTGTGCTACTGGAACTAAGTAGATACATAACAGAGAATGTGAGTGTGTTTGTGTGTGTGTGTGTGTGTGTGTGTGTGTGTGTGTATCAATGGATACTTGCAGCTACAATGCAGACAAATAACCTTTTCACCTCTAATTTTCCATTTCACCTCTCCCTTCCTATACGTCAGCTTTTTATATGAATTTTACAAGTATATATTTAAAAACAAGAATATAGGAAAGCCAAAGTGAGTAGAAAAAGAAGGCAAATGAGAATTCTAAGTTGTTTCATCCTTAAATGAAATAATTTCATTTCAAATATGGATTAATTTTTCTGTAAAAAACACCCTGCAAGACACAATTTTAGACCTTTTGAAAAATTTAAATTTGTCTTCTCTTCTAACAAAGTTATGATATTCATACCTGCTGAGGTTTCTCTAAATTTGTCACTGGTCTTCTTTTTCCTCCATTTCCAAGGCTTAAAGATTTTACCGATGGTGGAGAGTTTCCCCTTTCTCTTGAAGGGAGGTGTCTGGGAACCTGCTGTGGGGCCATCTGAGTTTGCTATAGAAGCTTTGTCCAGTCCATCAACTGTATAAAGAAAAATAAAGTCAGAGCAAGGCTGTAATAAAAGTTTTAAACAACATCATGTATTTCTCCCTGTGCTGTTGATACGAATCATGCCCACTTTAATTGGAATCTCACATAATGTTTATTTTGCCCCATTTCCCAGCTGGCAGAACTCCCCTGATTATCAGTCAGTAAATCAATCCATCAGAAATTATAGTCCCCTTAGATAACCATTTTGGGGAAACAGAAAAGCAGCAAGCAACTTACATAATAGGTAGGGCCAGACAAATAAGATCTGTGAAACATAGCTGAATGCATCTGCAGCAACTACATCAATATTTTGTGCAGGAATAGAGTATTCTAAGTATTTCTAAAATAGGATCTTCCTCCAGAGGCTAGCTTGGCATTCTCAGTAATGAATATTACAGCTATGGTGTAGTTAAAAGCATGGTTTCTCCTTCACAAAATAAAATTCAGTGCCAAGAAGCTAAATTCTAATTTTTACAATACTTAAAACTACCTTTTGCTTCTATTACAAAAACAGTTTTCAGCTTCAAAGAAACTGATAACTATCACTAACATCAAGAAATTGGTGGAAAACATGGGATTGTGTGTGATAAAACATATCTTTATGTGCCTTAAACATTTTATTAATCAGAAGAAGTGTCTAAAACCTTAAGTTGCCTTGCAATATGTTCATAACAGAAGGAACACAGTGATGACTTACATTATCCCAACTATCAAATTTTAATGGGAAAAACTGGAAACAGTCCAGAATGGATAAACTATAGTATTATTCATACAATAAAAAAAAATGAGCCATTGATATATACAACATGAATGCACGTCAAGAATATTGGATATATATAGGTTAATATCCAAAATATATAAAGAACTCATACAACTCAACAACAACAAAAAAAGCCAAACAACTCAATTAAAAAATGGGCAGAAGATCTGAACAGACATCTTTCCAAAGAAGATACACAGATGGCCAACAAGCACATGAAAACATGTTCCACATCACTAATTATTAGGGAAATGCAAATCAAAACTACAATGAAATATCGCCTCACGCCCATCAGAATGGCTATTACTAAAAAGACAAGAAATAACAAGTGTGGGAGAGGATGTGGAGAAAAGGGAACCCTCGTACACTGTTGGTGGGAAAGTAAATTGATGCAGCCACTATGGAAAATAGTATGGAGATTCCTCAAAAAATTAAGACTATAACTACCATATGATCCAGCTATTCTACTTCTGGGTATTTATTCAAAGAACACAAAAACACTAATTTGAAAAGATATTTCCAGCCCTATGTTCATTGCAGCATTATTCATAGCAGCCAGGACTTGCAGACAACCTAAGTGCCCATCAGTGGATGAATGGATAGGGAATATGTGGTGTGTGTATATATACACTTATCTAATGGAATATTACTCAGCCATAAAAGATGAAATCTTGTCATTTGCAACAACACGGATGGACCTTGAGGTTATTATGCTAAGTGAAATAAGCCAGACGGAGAAAGTCAAATACCATATGATTTCACTCATATGTGGAAGATAAACACAACAACAACAAACACACAGATACAGAGAATAGACTGGTGGTTACCAGAGGGGAAGGGTGAAGGGGTAAAAGGGCACATGTGTACAGTGATGGATGGAAACTAGACTTTGGGTGGTGAACACAATGTAATCTACACAGAAGTCAAAATATAATGATGTACACCTGAAATTTATATAATGCTATAAACCAATGTACCTCAAAAAAAAATTGTGCTAAAAAAAGTGACACACAAAGGAGCACATACTGTGTGTTTTTATTTATATGAAGTTCTAAAAGAGGCAAAACAAATTTATGGCAAAAAAAAAAAAGGGGGGCTGGCCCCGTGGCTTAGCGGTTAAGTGCGCGTGCTCCGCTACTGGTGGCCTGGGTTCGGATCCCGGGCGCGCACCAACGCATCGCTTGTCCAGCCATGCTGAGGTGGTGTCCCACATACAGCAACTAGTGGATGTGCAACTATACATACAACTATCTACTGGGGCTTTGGGGAGAAAAAGGGGAAAAAAGGAGGAGGATTGGCAATAGATGTTAGCTCAGAGCCGGTCTTCCTCAGCAAAAAGAGGAGGATTGGCATGGATGTTAGCTCAGGGCTGATCTTCCTCACAAGAAAAATAAAGAAAGAAAGAAAGAAAGAAAGAAGAAAGAAGGAAAATCAGAACAGTAGTTGCTTCTTTGAGTGAGATGGAGGTAGGAATTAACTGAGAAAAGTCTCAAGGGAACTTCCTGGGGTGACGGAAATTATCTCAATAAGGGATGGATTATACAAAACGCATCAAATGGTATTTATGATTGTGCACATCAGTTTATGTAAAATTTACCTTTAAAAAAACCCTAAATAAATAATGAAGTCCAATTAATGATATGCATGCTGTCGTGTTTAGAGGTAAAGTATATTAATGTCCATCAAAAATAATAAATAGATAAATAGATAGAATGGACAGAGGGATAAATATACAATAAAGGAAAATATAGCAAAATGTTAAGGGTGGAATCTAGGTGGTGGGTAAGCAGTGGTTAAATGTATAATTCTTTCATCTTCAAAACTTTCATAACAAAATATCAGGAAAAACAAAACAAATAAAACAAAAATTGAATGGCAAAGACTTCTGCTTCCAGGAAGATGGAGTAGATTACTTTTTCCTATTCCTCCTGCTAAGTACAACTAAAAAAACCCCAAATATTATATATAAAACAAACATAAGAAGACTCTGCAAGGTGAAAATAAAGTAGACCAGCCTGGGACCTCAGGACCCAAGAAACAACATGAAGGTAAGATCTCTGGGTTTTCTTTTTGTCTCTCACATACCAGACTTGCAGCCGAAGCAGTCACCAACCTGGAAACACCAATGGGCACAGACCAAAAAAGCCTCAACAAAAGCCTGCTCTCTTTAGCCAACGAAGCAGGAAAGGGACAGCCTAGCAAGACAGAAAACTTTTAACAACTGCTCTACTCCAGCTAAACACCACAGAAGAAACTGTGACCATCCATGTTAGCAAAGGCTGAGTGGGGAGACTAGACTTCTACCTTTACGAAGCTCTAACAAGAGCCCCGACATCCCTGTCAGAGGGGCGTCAGAGAAGACCAAGCAGGGAGCCAGGACCTTCATGCCTGCCAGCTGGTAATGAAGCATCCTCTACAGTGTCAGTGGAGACCATGTGGGAGCCTGGACTGCCACCCCTACCTAGCAGTAACGAAGTGTCTCTCCTCCTGCCTCCCCCCAATATTGGGGTGATTTCGAACCATTGCCCAGTGGGAACAAGACCACCCCCACCCACTATGGTGTCAGTGGAGGACGTGAGGATCTGGAAATCCCACCATGCCCAACAGTAATGAGGATCCTCCCCCCCCGCAATTGCTGCCATCAGTTATCAACAGAGGATAAGTGGAGAACCTGGATTTTTACCCCTACCTAGCAGTAAATGAGACAGCACCCCTGGTTTACCTTGCTGGAGAGGTGTCAGACAAAGGTAGTTAAAACAAAAGGTTTCAATAAGATTTAGAGTCTTGGGGCTGGCCCCACGGCCTAGTGGTTAAGTTTGGCGTGCTCCACGTCAGCGGCCTGGGTTCGGTTCCCGGGCATGGACCTACACCACTCATCAGCAGCCATGCTGTGGCAGCAACCCACATACAAAATAGAGGAAGACCGGCACAGATGTTAGCTCAGGGTGAATCTTCGTCAGGGAGAAAAAAAAAAAAAAACTCAACCAAAGATTTAGAGCCTTATTACATAATACAAAAATGTCTAAGTTTCAATCAAAAATCACTTGACATACCAAAAACCAGGAAAATCTTAAACTGAATGAAAAAAGACAATCAATACATGCCAACACCTAAATCCTAATGAGTTCTCCTTCCAAACAAGAATGATAAATCCCATTCTTCCCCTTCATGAAGTCTCCTCTAGTTTCAGGGAGAAATGCAAGTCCTACAGTGACTGATTCTTCTGCGCATGGTTCCTAACCCTACTTTACCCACCTATGTTGGCCATAGTGCAATAGGCAGAAACAGATATGGAATAAGACTGACTTTGAAATTAAGTTCGAGTCAAACAGTAAAATCCTTATTTCACTTTCACTCCTGTCCAATTGCCTTCCTTGAACTAGGGGCAAAGCCAAGGAGGAACTGAGTGTGTGGTATTTCTTCTTCTTTGACGCTTTATGCTGAAGGGCTTAATTTTGAACAATTGAAATGTTGTGAAATATAAAAGGAAAGGCTATTGCAAACACAGGAACTTAAGTTTCCCTCTCAAATTCACCTCTGTGGCTACAGACACATCTCCTTCTCATTTTCTCTCAACCCAGACATCCAGTTTCTTGACACTCCATAAAAATTCTGCTTTTGATCTGAACCACTGAACAATAGTCTATTTTTTCTCCTGAAAACAAAAGTAAACAAAAACAAAAATGAAATAATTTCCTAGGTGACAGAACCTGATAGAGAAGGAGACTGAGTGAGTGAGGTAGTTGAGTGAAAAACGAAAGTCTTAATGTCAATGTCATAGCTGCTTAAGAAATTAACTGCCATTATCTTTCTTTTTTATGCATTTACAGTTCTGGTCTTAATCTCTACTCTGGAAGGGGCCTGGGCCAGTGTCAATGACCACACCAGTGCAAACACACACATACCTTTTTCCTGATTGAATGAATCCACCTGTAATTTTGTAATTGTTGGGCTATTACAGTCAACCCACACTTGCAATTAGGAATCATCCATCGGCACAGTTGGCCACACTGCCATTGTACTTTTCTTAAATCACAAACACGAAGGGGATTGTCACCTTCTTTTGAGAGTTATGAACAGAACATGAACTCTCTTCTTTCCTCCAAACACCTAGGATACTCAGTGCCATTGATGTTTCTATAATTTTTCTTTTGGACCAATATATCAATAAAATCAATTTGAAACTTCCTAAAAATTTTTTCACAACAGACCTAGTGAATTTTGCATTTACACACAGATAAGAACAAATTGCCAGGTAAATCCCAGATGAATGTCTGAATTTC